ACATGGACCTATCCCGATGATGCAGCCCTGGGTGCTGGAACAGCTTTGTGGAGACCCCTGCTAGTGCTGAGATGCTTGTTCATTCACTGACTCAGCTTTCCTCCTGCAGTCGGCATCATTGCCTCTGTTTTGTGTGGTGGAGGACTTTGTGGACTGGTTGGGTTAATGGGTTAATGTTGGACTTGTGGGCTTGAGCAGCATTGAGTTGGGATGTTTTCGTGATGCACATTTTCTTTATATAAAACTCTCTCTTATACATGAGTTTCTGTGGATTTGTTTCTCCAAAGTACCCAGACTAATGCAGCTGTACATTTAATAAATTGGGTTTTTTGTTTACCATAATTAACCCATTTCTGCCAAATCAATTCTGACTGACAGCAACTCCATAAAACACAATAGATTTTCCCCTTGGATTTCGTTAAGCAGGCCCCTGCCTCTTATTACTGCGATGCAGCTGGTGGTGTTTGAAGTGCTATCTCCAGTTCATACCCAAATCCTTAATCACTGCACCTTTGTAACTCCTTTTGATCTAATTGGAAACCATGTGCATGCAAGAAGGTATATTTTAAGGTAAGGATCATTAAAAATCAAAATATATACGTATCTACCAATTAAGAAAACAAACACTCATCAATTAATAAAATTTACATTACAATTTATGATAATATCTTCTGGAAAGTGATTTTAAGAATAATTTGAATGGGCCTAAGCTGTATAATAGATGAGTGTTTTTGTCCCAAATTCAAAATACATTAAAGCTGATAGCTTTAAATATCAATTTTAAATCCTGAATATACATTTTAACGATGTTGTAAACACATATTTTGAGCTTGGAGAGCAAAAGGAAGATGCACAGGGCAGATCAGGATGAGAAGGTGGGTGTGGTCAGCTTGTCCTGCTACAGTCACATAAGACGGCCCTTCTTGTCCGTGAACAATGAACAGGTGCATTGTGGTGAAGGAGCAGAATCCCCACCAATGTAGTTTGCAATTCCTTAAACATCTTCCCTGTAAATCCTCACGATTGTCCTATGTCCTAGCCTACATCTATCAGTGCACACGGTCACCTACCTGGACCAGTTGTCTTTACCTTCTGCGCAGACATCTCTGCCTTGAATGCCAGCAGGTCCTCTCCAAAACTATTGATTTGATTAGACTAGTTAAGGAGTGATCCTAATGACACTCAGAGAAGTGTATTATTGAGAGAGCTTGCTTACAGCCACACTCTGATCACAGAGATGTGTCCAAACAATTTATTTGAACTAAACCTGTGTCTGTATGAACTGTAACCCTAGTAATACTAATTTATGATTTCTACCTAAGTAACCAGTTTTCCAGTTTACATACCAACTTTTGAATGGTCATAGGTAGGTAGGTCTAAGCTAAAAGTTTTGGCATTCCAACCAAATGTTGACTGTCCTGCCAATGCTCTTTTAGTAAATGGCTGCAGTACACTGCATTGGCTTTTTAAAAAATAACTGTTCTTACTCTAATCTTCTAAATAACACAAAGTAATGGGCTGGTACACAATTTTGCCAATGGTCAAAATCTTATTCCATTGAGTGACTTGTGCTCTACCAAGTGGGCATGGTCAGACCACGGTCCCATTGGAAAGACCATGCCTTGAAATGAGTGAGTTCATGTATATAAGGACCAGTCCAATGGAACTCAGTACCACCCAAAAGAGTCTGGAGAGGAGCATGCTCTTTGGACACGGAGTTCCTGAGCAGACAACACCCCCTACACCAAGAAACGAGTTGTAACCCTAAAGAAAATGTCCATGGTTTATTAAGAGTAGCAAATACAGCAAAGCCAAGTGATAGAGAAAGAACAGCAGCATTTTGGGCAGCAGAACTGTGAGCCCAGCCATGACCTTGCCAGCCTAGGAACAGAGAACTGAGTGACATCAGTTATGATTATTTCTGACAGAGGAGGGTGCCCTCCAGGCATTAGTCCATGCAGCTGAAAGAACTATAATCCTTTACATGCAAGACAGAGTCCTGTATGTGCCCCTGGCTGGAGCTACCTAACCCTTCTAAGTGGGCCCTCAAGCAGTGTGGAGGGAACCAGTAGGGAGGCAGTAACAATGACATTGACAGACCCACAGGAGAAGCACAGGAGAACCTGTGCAGAGGGTTCCCTGAGGACAAGGCAAAGCCAAGGGAGGCCCAGGGCACAGCAGAAAACTTGGGAAGCATGCAGGCTCCTAGCAGCAGCCGAAGTGTAGCCAGAGGCAGCAGGAGCATGTGCAAAGTATCTGACTTAGACCACAATATGCCTGCCCTGCAATGCATGGATAGATGTTGGTAATTTGAGGAAGGGTAACAATTTCCATTCAGAATCTATTCATATTGATTGCTGTTTTCTTGCTAAAAATAATAATGATGATTTTCACTTTGCCAAAACTGTGTCAGTATCTCATGTGCCCAACTCATTGACAGATGAGAGCAGCACCCATGGTAATTTTATGTGTCTCATTCTTAGTTTTATGGCTGCTGATAGTGAGACCTGCAGCCTTTCTGCATGTGTAAGCAGACTGACAAGTGGGCATTCAATGGCTGCCATTCACTAACGTGTCTCTGAAAACCAAAACAAATGCCTGAGATGCTGGATCCAACACACAGTAACTCTGCCTCTCCTTTCGATGGCCCAATACATCCAAAACCCACTCTCAGCTCCGCATCTCTTCAGTCGTCGTCTTATTTGAGTCCCCACTGTATCTCACTATACGTGGGCTCCTTCCTTCCTGTCATGACTACCACATGCACAAAAAGAAAACAGAACCTTTCCAAAATGCAAGTCTATTTGCATCACCAATTTTCTTAACCCCCCTTTCTATCTTTTCATCAAGTATAAAATTGTCTAATGTTATATGTCCTGAAAAGTTGTGGATCATCTTGCTTTTGACTCCTCTCCAGACTTAGCTAATAAAATCATCCACACCTGGAGCAGATTCTCCTCCTCGTCCTGAGTTTCCCAACTAGTATTTTTATGTCAGAGCATTGCCCATGTTGTTTCCTTTGCTTAGAAAACTGTATAGCTATTCATTTTAAAGAAGAAAGCAAAAAGAGGAACTCAAATAAATATTTGAAGGGATTATGATTAACCATAATTTGACCATGACTGTCAGCTTTAAATAATTCAAAATTTTGGATGTAGGATTTATTTTAAAAATACATTTTAATGGCACATGTGTAATGTCTGTTGCCCATAGAAAACATATAACATGCACTCTTTTAAAAACAGAGTATTATTTTTGGTCTTCACATACTATCTCCTGCCAGTTTACATAAAATCAGAAGGTGGCAGGTTGGTTTAAATGATCATTTCTGAACAATGTTTCTAGATCATTAAAATTCCACCCTCCACAGAAACGCATACAGATAGGTTATAGTATCTGAAAGTTATGAAGATAGAAAGAAAAAACAAACAGGTACAGAACTCACCATAGCAGATGGGTGTATGAGACCAGCCATCCTCACCACATACTACAGAGCCTGTGGTGCTTCCTCCTGCATTTTCATAGCCTTCATGGCATTCATAGTCCAGCTGGTCATGAAGCTTGAACCATGTCCCATTATGTTTGGCTCTGGCATTCTCAAATACTGGCACATCACACGATTCTTTTGTGTGGTAAAATTGAGCATTTCATTTCATGTTATTTAATGGGCAAACCAATTGAATAAATCTTATCTCAGAAACAATACATCCTACCTAAGTATGTATCTTTTAAGGTCACTTAAGAAGATTAAGCAACTGTTTTCCTAAAATCATGACTACATTAGAAATGCATGTTTATAGATACAGCATTCTCTACTTAAATCATTTAAAAATGACATTATTTTAAATACTTTTTTCTCAATTCTAATTATTCTTGTGATCATATTCCATGCAAGTAAAATCAAAAGTCAATGTAGTTTAATTCTTTTTCAGCAAACCATAGTAACATTTTAAAATTTAAAAATAACAATCTTATGATCATTTGAGAGATATATGCTAGAGTAAATAGGTAAATAGAATATGAAGATGTCATGTGACATTTTCTCTCTCATAAAGGAGTCTTGTAATAGATATTTATCACAATGTAGGATAAAACAAGTTGCTATGAGATCAACTTTTGTTATATTTTTGCCTGAATCTATAGTAAAAGCACTCTCCCAATTTTTAAATTAAAAAATAAGGCCATATTCATATACATATACTTTTGAAACACTGCCGAGTCACTTTGCAGGGGCGAGAGGCTGTATATCACTTTAAGGAGCAAATTATTCTGACCCATGGCCACTGAGTCCTTTCCAACTCTCCTCACACTCTGTAGGGTTTCTAAGGCTTTGTAAATCTCTAAGGGAGCAGACAGACTCAGCTTCTCCATATGGAGAGGTGGGTTTGAGGCACAGACCTCCTGGTTAGCAGTTTACACTCAGCCAAATCCTCGAGCAGAGCTTCAACTCGTTTGTAGAGAACCTTTATACGTATTGAGGCATTGCAGTAGAGGCAATTTTGATCACAATGAAACTTAATACTATAAGAATGCTCCTCCCTTACATTACCTCAACAAACACTGAAGATTTTTCAAAAGGGCCATGGGGACTTTCATAGGTTGGCATCCACTTAAATTAATTGTTTACATTGTAAAGGCCAGATTGTTCTGGGATTCTGTACCATGGATGGTCCCTTTATTTAAAAACACAACTTCTCTGTCTAGCAAAAAGGACTCCATTACAGAAGATTAGTCACCTAAACATAGGCATAAATGAAATGATTTCAATGGAAAAAACAAACCCGTGTTTGCAGGAACAAATAAAAAGAAACATATTTACTCTAGACAACACATAGAAATCACTAACTAGCTTCAAAATCTGAGGGTTGTTTTGAATTAGGAAAAACTTAAACTCCAAAGAGGGAATGATCTTTTATCTTACCAGTAATTTTGTCAAAAAGGCAAAAAAGGCTTACATGTCTAATTATAACTATACGTATATACTTGATTACATATATAATTTCTATAGTATATACATCTTTACTTATTTTATCTATAAATCCACTTTATATTGTTTCTACATTATATGTGAGTTTTCACTTTTATATGCATGTTGTATATATTCTACAGGGTTGCTACATTATATATGTGTGTGATTTTTATATTTTATATATAATTTTAACATTGTATATGATTTCTACATTATGCTTTTGACTTCCATATAATATATAATTTTCATATCATATATTATATTGCTTATCTTTCCTATATTATTTATAATTTCTGAATTATATCTCTTTAGTTCATCATTAGAAGTGGAACTATGTCAGACACACCCTCTTCCTACCACTCCCTAAAATCAGAGAATTAAGGTGAAGAAACTACTTGGAATCTATCATTAAAAAAATAAACTTAGTAAATTACTTACTAATGCATGTCGGTTGAATTGACCATCCACTTTCCAAGCATGAAATGAATCCCGATGCTTTACCATCTGCCGTCACATATCCTGGTTTACATGTATATTGTGTTTGTTTATTGACAGGATATGTAAACTGAGATTCAGAAAGAAATCCATTCTCAATGTTTATATCTGATTTAGAACATGTTTCTAAAGGAAGAAAGTACAACGAAATGATAAGCATATGTTCAACAAACATTTTTATTCAGTCAATATAAGAGAATATAATAAAATATTAAATAACTTGTAAGTGAAACCCAGAAGTAATTATAATTATCCAAGTTATTTGAATGAGAAAAGATGCTGTTTCATAAGCTATCACAACAAAAAGCTTCATTAAATATATCTGAAAGAAGGCAGATTGGAAATAAGCATTAAAAAGGCACCATGGTAGCTATAGCTATAGCATGTTGTAGGCTTCCAGACCCATAGAAAACTCTGTTTCTGATAATTTCTTAGGCGGAATTATGAGTGTTGTGTCACAGATAGATTGATAGTTGCCATAGTGTCAACTCAGAGAGAATGAGATGTTGCCAGGCCTTCATCATTTTCATGATCAGCAGAAAGTCAAGGCCTTCCTTGCAGCTTTGTACCAGTCTTCTCACCAAAACTCTCCCTCACCCTCACTGGACCTCTTAGCACCACGATGCCATTCGGTACTGAATGATTGATTCCTATTGAACTTGTGTCCAACGCAAGTGATTC